AAGTTGAATACTGTAACGTTAAAATCATTACCCCATAGAAAATCTTTTGTTTTCACTGCGACAGATATCAGCCTGTACAAATGGTAATCTTCTTAATAAACACAATAATAATAATAATAATAATTATTATTATTATTATTATATAGGCCTAGCTGTTTAGCTTGCCAATCAGGCGTTCATTTTCATGAACATGTTACAACTTATATTAAAAATAAATTACACCACAGACACCATCAAATGTGCTCATTTTAGACAGATTTCAAGGAACAGTTCACAATTTACTCACCCCTATGTCGGTCCGATATTAAATCCTCTTGACCTTCCATTTAAAACGAATATTTCTGGTGGCAGACTCCAATAAATGTAATAATTTATGTGATGATATGTGATTCCAATAAATGTGATGAGCTTAAGTTAAACGTTTTCATTAATTTATCAACTCAATAGCTCAGTAACTCTATTGAGGTAATCTAATTGTGATCTAATTAACAAATTGGTATTTTGGTAATATATTTTATTTTATAAAATGTTATAATATATAGACATTATATATATTGGTGATTATATTCACCAAAAAAAAAAAAAGGCCAGCAAAGTTTACACATACATTACACATCACATTCACAAACATCAATTTTATGTTTTATTTTGAAAAAGTGAAATAGCTTGAACACGGTTCACAAAACAATTTAGAGAAGTAAATAAAGGCAGCTGTCCTGTTTGTCTGGCCATCTCTCCAGCCACACACTTCATTTGATTGTGTATGCAGATATTTGTGGAAGCTAAATCTCGGGTCACGTCACGCCGCTGATCTGGCTGTCAGGCGGCTCAGAGCTTCAGAGGGGATTTGTTGTTTTGAAGCCGACCCACTGAGGCGTACGATCAGCCGCTGACTGCCAGACGATGCTGATGAAGGTACGCGTCGGCTAGTCTTTCTTCCCTCTCACAGGAAAAGAGGCCAGGTGCATTGCTCTCTGTGGAGATGTGTGGGATGTGACATTTAAAAAAAGACACGAAAGGCATACTTTTTTCCCTAAAATTACATATAAATAGATCTAAACTGCTTATATATTCTCTTATCCATCAGAAACACGCAATGATATATAAAAATTATGTCATTTATGCCATGCAAAGGCACAAGGTGTTTGCAAACATAAAGTGTGTTTAGTCCGATGCATGAAAGTACAGCATTTGGGACGTGACTCAACTTTCATGGGTTATAAATGTATTGTTGTAGACCTTGAAAGTGGCATGTTGCAATGCATCAAAACGGAGGCCATTACGAAACATTACTTTGTACATGTGCACAAACACTTTTAGCTATGCAAACTTTAATTCAGCCATTGTTTTGTTGAACAATATCTGGTGACATGCGTGACATTCTCCACATTGACGTGACTGAGGACCAAAATAATGTTCTTCCGCAATAACTTGAACCGCTAGACAAGCGTCAAAAGTTGAATACTGTAACGTTAAAATCATTACCCCATAGAAAATCTTTTGTTTTCACTGCGACAGATATCAGCCTGTACAAATGGTAATCTTCTTAATAAACACAATAATAATAATAATTATTATTATTATTATTATTATTATATAGGCCTAGCTGTTTAGCTTGCCAATCAGGCGTTCATTTTCATGAACATGTTACAACTTATATTAAAAATAAATTACACCACAGACACCATCAAATGTGCTCATTTTAGACAGATTTCAAGGAACAGTTCACAATTTACTCACCCCTATGTCGGTCCGATATTAAATCCTCTTGACCTTCCATTTAAAACGAATATTTCTGGTGGCAGACTCCAATAAATGTAATAATTTATGTGATGATATGTGATTCCAATAAATGTGATGAGCTTAAGTTAAACGTTTTCATTAATTTATCAACTCAATAGCTCAGTAACTCTATTGAGGTAATCTAATTGTGATCTAATTAACAAATTGGTATTTTGGTAATATATTTTATTTTATAAAATGTGACATGCGTGACATTCTCCACATTGCTGCAAGACTTTTCTCCTACTACTGTCATGGCAGAGCAATTGTTTGAAGAGTCTTAAAAATGTCTGAACGTCATTGCATTGCATTTTGTACACTACATTTAGTGTTTTATGTATTTAAAGGCCAATGAATAAGTGTAAAATTGAAAAGTGATAAATGCCACATGTTATCATAATGCAGTGACATTCATGTATTTTGAAGTGTGATATTAAGAATGAATTGAACATACGTTTCATATTTCTAATGATGATTATTTCCTCTCCACTGATAAGGGTCGGCGAGGGTCAAAGCTCACACTGTAAACAGGAACAGATAAAGAGAGAGAGAAATAGATTTGATATTTCCTTAATAAATCCATCAGCACGCAAGTCCAGATTGAAACGTCATTGCGGCTAGATAAGGATTACCCACAATGCTCATCAGGGTCATGACCTTGAACAATAGGATGGACCACATGCAAACATGCCCAGCTGTGCCATGTTAGCGTCAGAATGAGAAGGTCACCATCTCAGCGGTGATCCTACAGGAATTATACTGTAGTATAGTAGGAATACACAAGTTGTGCCAACTCATTTTTTAAAGTTTGACTAAGTCAAACTTTAAAAAATGAGTTGGCACAACTTGTGTATTCCTGAAGTTCAGTAAACTCAAAAAAGCTTGGTTGCTTTAATATTTTAAGTCGACTCAACTACTTTTTTTCCTATTTAAATGTATAGCTTTAATCTTATATCCTGATTCTTAGCCATATTCATGCACGTTCCTCAACATCATTTAAACATACAAATGCATGGAGTACAATTACAAACCATACTGTAAATATAACACAAACGAGATTTTGTCATCATTACATTCAGTTTAACAACAGTTAAAGAGGGTAAACTTTATCATTCAGCTGAGCTGTACCTGTATGTTTTAAACACTTCTGCTCCCTTATATGTTCTTAGCGTGTGGTTTTCTAGCATATTTACTTTAACTTCTCAGGAAACATCAGTGGTACGACCTATTTCAGATGCGGCTGAAATTACAACAGTGGTTACATAGGCCTATATTTAATTGTTTGATCATAATTATTGTAGTAGTCGCTGGATATTGGTAGGGACATGACCCTAGCGTCCCTAAATTTGTACGCCCTTGCCTTACTGGAACTACTATTGTAACAACTATTGACTTATGAGACTGTAATTGTAAGCAATGCAGGACAAAATTTATACTAGAATGAAACACAACTGAGAGCTCAGTGAAGTGTCCTGAGGTTTGAAGGAGCATCATCTGGTCATGCTAAAGTCAAGATATTGCTATGCAATTGCTAGGTGCTTTCTTACTATTCCAATTCAAAGGATATAATATAAAATATAGATATTAAGGAGAGACCGGGTTACAAATTTCATTTTCTCCTCACAGTTCAACATCCACATATATGATTGTACATATCAAAACGTTACTCTACTCAAAATCATCTAATATTGAGAAAAGAAGCCATCCAGTACAGGAAAATGACATCATGACATCAATGCGAAACAGCAATGTTTCTGCTGCAGCCATTAATATGTAATCTGTGGCTGATGGAGCAGCTGTTTAGAGGGCACCTTCTCTCTCTCTCATGTTAATCTGACAGCTTTTGTGTGATGACTGACTGACTGACTGACTGACTGACTGCTCGTGTTGAGAACATGTGGACTACAGCGTTGGGCTTTTTATAGGTGCCTGAAATAGTCCAGTTTAAAGGCCTTGAGAGGTCAAATTCTAATGTGTTCAGCTACAAAATAACATCAGAATGTGCATTGGAATAAAACCATGTAATTTTATCCCTGAAATCATATATATATATGATATATTTACATATACTGTTATATAAATATATACAGATAATAAAAAATTAAGTGCATAATTGTGAAGTAATCATTTTTAACATTTTATATATTATATAAATGAGAAATTAATACTTTTATTCAGCAAGGATGCATTAAATTGATCAAAAGTGACACTAAGGACATTTATAATGTTACAAAGATTTCCATTTCAAATAAATGCTGATCTTTTGAACTTGTATCAAAAACGTATAATGCTTTACACCAAAATATGAAGATTTTCAACATTAATAATAATCAGGAATGTTTCTTGAGCAGCAAATCAGCATATTAGAATGATTTCTGAAGGATCATGTGACACTGAAGACTGGAGCAATGATGCTGAAAATTCAGCTTTGTGTCATAAATTACATTTTACAATATATTCAAATAGAAAACAGCTATTTTAAATTCTAATAATATTTTACAATATTACTGTTTTGACTGTATTTTTGAGCAATAAACGCCTTGGTGAGCATGAGAGACGTCTTTCAAAAAATCTTACTGACTGCACACTTTTGAATGGTAGTATACACACACACACACACACACACACATGTCCCCATCAAATTAGATTGGATTATATATACATAGAAAGCTTATTAAATGCAAGTAAAGGGTGTAATGTTTCAAAACTTTTGTGAAATTAAATATGGGTGAAATAATGTTCCATTGTCATTCAGCGTAACAGATATATTTGTGACCCTGGACCACAAAACCAGTTTTAAGTGTCAATTTTTCAAAATTGAGATTTATACATCTGAAAGCTGAATAAATAAGCTTTCCATTGATGTATGGTTTGTTAGGATAGGGCAATATTTGGTTGAGATTTTACTTGTTTAATACACGAGTTTCACAATTTGAGTTGAATTTCTGAAATAAATGAACTTTTCCATGACATTCTAATTTATTGAGATGCACCTGTATATGATCTATTGTTACACTGATTGACATTTTAGTGTGTGTCCTCTATGCTTCTATGCATAAAAGGCATTCATTTTTGCTCAGAAAAAAAAATGAAAAAGGACGCATTCTAATGTATGGGGAAAAAGTATATTTAAAGCTGTATTAAATGTTTATTGTTTTGATGCTTTTCATCTTTACCATATCTAACACATGAGCATGTCTCTGTCTGCTCTCCATCAGTCTGATGTCAGGTCTGGCTGCGCTGGATGCAAAGTGTTCCAGTCGGCTGGGTCTCATCACCGTCTCTTACTACCTGTGGACCACATTCCTGGCTGTGGTGGTGGGAATCGTCATGGTGTTAATCATCCATCCGGGCGGAATGGCACAGAAGGAAGACTCTGAGGACAGCGGGAAACCCATCATGAGCTCCGCCGATGCTCTCCTTGATCTCATACGGTCAGACGGTCCTCATCGTCCTCCTAGACAGCATAGAGAGAAAACAGAGAGGCTCTGGTTACAGGGATAGTTCACCCAAAAATGGCAACTGTGTCATCGTTTACTAACGCTAACTGAAAGCACTAATTGAAATAAAATGAAATATATTTTAAAAAAAGTAATTTATTTTATTTCAGCTAGTTGCCATGGCAACATTTCTCATTTTCGTTTAGTTCACTAAAATAACTAAAACTAAATAAACTAAAACTACTACAATACATGAAAATCAATAAAAACTATAACAAAAATAAAAAAAAACTAATAAAAATCATAAAAACACAACAAAAGTACTAAAACTTTCACTAAAATTAAAGTGAAAACAAATTATAAAAATAAAATGTAATTGAAAATATTAAGAAAAGTTATGATAGTATCTCGACACTAAAATAAATGTTTTTAATTTTAAAAACAAAATTTCATTTAATTTCATTATCAAATTTCATACACAATGGTTTTTCAAAGTGGTTCAAATGGTTATAAGAAATAATCATAATAAAAAAAAACGTAAAGGGGTCATATGATGCGATTTCAATTTTTCCTTTCTCTTTGGAGTGTTACAAGCTCTTGGTGCGACAGGGCATCACAGTATGGTAAGGGGTGTAACATTTCCGTCACACGCTTGAGGTGTTCGGCCAATCACAACGCACTGGATAGTTGGTTAATCAGAGCACACCTCGCTTTTCAGACCGATTAGTTTTGTAAAAATCGACGCGTTTCAGAAAGGGCAGGCATAGAGGAAAAACAATAATGTACAGTATGTGGAAAATAATGTGTTTTTTGAACCTTAAACCGCATAAACACATTTCATTACACCAAATACACAAAATAATGTTCTTTTTAGCAGCATCATATGACCCCTTTTTAAATAAATATATTTTTAATAACGATAAAAAATGTAAATATATTAAAAACGAATAAGTCATCAAATTAAATTCAAAATATTAACACAAACTATAAGAGTATCTCGATACTAAAATAAAACCTTTTAATTTTAAAAACTAAATAATAAGATCTAATCTAAAACGTAACAAAAACTAGTATTTCATAGATACTAAAATAAAACTTTTTAAAATTTAATTTAATTATCAGATTATACAATGGTTATTCAAAGTGGTTCAAATGGCTATTAGAAATAATCAAAAATGAAAATGAACAATAAACATAAAACTCATATGCATATATTTTTAATAATTATAAAAACCACTTAAAATGTATTCAAAACAAATAATTAAAAAGACAAAAATACAAATATCACATTCAAAAGATGAACACAAACTATAATGGTAACTTGAACTAAGCATGAGCAATACTTCTAAAGCATTTATTAATCTTAGCTAATGTTAATTTCAACATTTACTAATGCATTATTAAAATCAAAAGTTGTGCTTGTTAACATTAGTTAATGCACTGTGAATGAACATGAACTAACAATGAACAACTGTATTTTCATTAACTAGCATTAACAAAGATTAATAAATACTGTAATAAATGTATTGTTCATTGTTTGTTCATGTTAGTTAATACATTAACTAACATTAACTAATGGAACCTTATTGCAAAGTGTTACAACTAGTATATCAGTGGTAGTAAAATAAAACAGCTTTTTCTATGGACCACAAAAGGAGTTTGTGAGAAGTCAGTCAATCAACACAACTTGTGATAAACTACAGCATACATCTTATTAATAGCTCAATTAGCTCGTCTGGAGCATCTTTTTTGTTATAAATAGTATCTGCTAATAAAAACTGAATTTGATTTCTGAATTACTAGTAACTCGGGCTGGTCAGTAATAAATCACATTAAACCATCATCACGGATCAAATCTCTAGCCAACCTGATTGTGTTTAGATTGAAAGTACTGCAGTCATAATCTCATATGACCCGTTTGAGAGCTCTTGTGTCTCTAAAATCAGTCACAAACACACATCTAGGGCTTGTGTTGAACCATTGGGAATCTATTTGAGTGATCTGCTAAATGCACAGTGACACTCAAATGTATTTGGACACTTTGCATGCCATTGCATTAGATATAAACATGTTCCACTAATGACAAACAAACACAAAGTCACACAATATTGACCATCTTCAACGCTACATCTACTGTTTCAGGATTTCTAATTTTTTGCTTGAAAAGTCTTTCTTTACAATAAATGATTTTTGTTTTCATGTTTTGCTATCTAATGCAATGATATATTTAAAGTGTCCACATGCATTTCGGTGCCGCTTTATGTGAGCTCAGCATCAACCAACTGGTCAATATTTGTGTCATTCATGCTAATGCATGTTTGTAGCTTAAGGCCAGGAAGCCACGTAACTAAAATCAACTGATTCATAACTCAAATTACACTCCATCAGCTGAAGGTCATTTCATTAGAAATATAATTGTTGTTTGTGTGGTCAGAGCCATTTAAAAGACCCTCAATACGGTCAGAAGCCTCATGTGGTCTGACGGCAGGATTATTTGGTGGAATCATTTCTTTAATGAAAATGACTGTTAAAAATGCATTGCAACGTCACAGTTCATTCCAGTGCACGCGAGAACAATATCCAATCAATTTTACCTCTTAACAAACACTTTTATTAAAGACCACTTGTCACATAAATCTCCATTTCTATGAGGCGTTCTGTAAAGCCTGTGTTAGTTAGAACGATCACTATAATTAACACTCTCTCAAACTCAGAACGTGCTATGAATGTTCATGTTAACTGAATTTAGTGCAACATCTCATGCTTCATGACCTCATATCGACCAGTGAGTTCATTAGACCGAAAACCAGCTTAATAACATCACCTGCTATCCCTCGCTTTCTCTAATAGCTTTAAAATGAAGAATATGTGTCGACTGAAAACATTAGCATGTGGACTAATGAAGATGTTTGACTCATAGCAGAGAATTACTCAAACCACCGGAAGATGAGATATTGAGCTCAGTCATAGACAACGATATTCAATTAATTGCAGGTTACTTGGCAAACAAAATAATGAGGAGGACGTGACCGGCACTGATAGCATAACACTGAAAATCTTGTGCTAATAGTCTTGACATAATTTGTATTAATAAGCAATAATGTAAAAAAAGACTGTCCTTTAATAAATATACAACCTTTAGGTCTTGTCAAAATGATGTTATTTGGGAGATGAGCACATAGGAATGTTGTAATTATTAGTGAACTGGTACTCATTGACTATTGATCATTTAGTGTAGTTGGTACACATTTTGTGCACTAATGATGAAGAAAACCCATAAACACTGCCCACTGCCAAAAACACTGCTATGCTACAGAAGCATAAAAACGAAAGCTTCAAGTACACATTTAACATGCACATGTTGGTCTTTATATTGTTGCATTGCAAAAGCAAAACAAAGAAATAAAAACCTGCATGCACAAAAAAACTCATCCACTTTTGCACAGAATGAACAAACATAAACGGATGCAAAATGCATGAGCATAGATATTTTCCATTATGAAATAAAAAAAATTGCATGCACAAAAAAGTAATGCACAGAATGAACAAACATAAATGCAAAATGCATGTGCAGCTACTTTCCATTTGGAAATAAAATTTGCATGCATGAAAAAATCTCATGCATTAATGCACAGAATGAACGAATACACAAACAGATGCATTATGCATAAGGAAAGACATTTTCCATTGAGAAATAAGAACCTGCATGCAAACACACGCACACACACACACAAATCATGCACGAATACACAAACATATGCATAATGGATTCACACAGCTGCGGTTGTGCTCTACTGTAGGTAGCATATATTTTCAGATGTACAGTATGTTGAGAGTCTTGGAATGTGGAACTGAGAGTTCGGTATAAACATTTCATTTAAATTTCATTAAAGTATGAGAGGAAAAACTCATTGGGTTCGGTTATTTTCCTGCAACAATACCAGCGCTTTATGACTCAGTGTGAAAAGACCACACTAGCCGGGCCAGCTTTAAGTAGACCCAAACCAACAGCACTTTTGCATCCTATTCAATCATTACAGCATCCGCCTGCAGGAAACTCAACCACCTATTAACACAGAACATTGTCTTGATGTGAATAGCTCGCTGGGATCATACAGCACATCTGATCCGGCTCCAGCGGCTCTCGCATGCACAGATTGTGTTTGGATGCTAATGAATGAATCTCATCCTCTCATACAGCACAATATGACTATACTACCAATCCAGGGTGATCTTATTAGTTTTCATAGGTATTTGTATCTAAAGTACACACATATAGTCATTTACTGTTGCTTTGTGTGTCTGTGTTTTTCTAAAGGTTCTTATTCCATACAAACCAATACATAATTGGTTTCATGAATACATGGTTATTTGTGAATAGGATGCATTTTTTTGCACTGAAGTACCTCTGGCACAAGATTGAATTCACCCCATAATGAATAATGAATCATTTTATTTTTTTGTCAATCTTTGAAATTGTCAACATCCTTATTAAGCTTCAACATTCATTAAGTATTTATTGGCTTTTTTATTAATGTGGTTGTTTTCAGGCCTCTTGACAAAAAGGTCAAATGATTTTAAAAAACAGTTACACACACTAAGGAACTGGCAAGGACAGTTTACTATAGGTTACTATAAGTTGCGTACATTAAATGCTTTCAAGGAAAGTCCTATTGAAAGTATGCACGTATGCACTATGCACGTATATAACTGTGATATATTTTGTCCCCAAACAGAAACATGTTTCCAGCCAACCTTGTTCAAGCCACTTTTCAACAGGTAAGAATCCACAGCTGGCCATGAATTATAAGTCATCCTCCTTACTGTACATGTAAGAACTGACAATAATCAACTGAATTAATGCATATATGCAAAAACATTAACGCACATTAACAATGCTAGCATGAGCGCCTGGAATGTAAATAAGCATGGGCAGGTTAGTTGTTGTGCAATCCGGATTACTGAATAAATGCATTTGAGGAGCTTGTGCTCTGATCACAAAGTGCTTGACAACCTGAAGTAAAATAAAAAGAGATTCATTTTGTGTTTCTTCTCTTTAGTATCGTACCAACAGTATGCCCATAATGAAGACCCCCAAGACGACAGTGGCCACCAGTCTAACAGAAACCACCACTCGCCGCGCTCTAATCTACGGGATTCAGGATGATAACGGGACGGACATCCAGAACTTCCAGCTGGATCTGACGCCGCCTCCTGACGTGGTGATGCGGACGCTTCCTGGCACCAGCGAGGGCATGAACGTCCTGGGGATCGTCATTTTCTCTGCCACCATGGGTGAGAATACTGGCACAGAGACAACATAATAAATAAGCTAATATTTTCATATCATATCTCACATTTGCACATTGCTGCTCATTTTTGCGAAGGCATAATGTTGGGCAGGATGGGTCCAAACGGCAGTGCTCTGGTGAACTTCTGTCAAAGTCTCAATGAAGCAGTGCTGAAAATCGTCGCTATAGTCATCTGGTAAGACTATTATATATATATATATATATATATATATATATAAAATGCAAATAAATTGTTTTTAAATTATTTATGTAGCTCTTTTTAAAATAAAGAAATGATAAAAACATTATCTACTTAACTGACATATTAAAAATTAGTCAGAAATATATATTTTTAAAATCTTTTTTCATATTTAACCTTTTATTTAAATAATGAACCTTGAAAAAATATATATGAAATTTTTTTTTTAAATACTTCAGAATTTTATGACTCATATAGTATGATATATTGAGAATATGGAGCTCAAATTCAGATGAAAAAAGCATAAGTTTTATTCAGAGGCCCAAACTGAGCAAAAATGAGCAGCAATGTGAAGCATGAAGCACGAGCTGAAGATGGATATTTGTACATTTACACTAAAAGGCCTTTTGCTTGCTAAAAGTGCATAAAAGATCAATCAGACGACAGAAGGCATGATGACTCATATAGTATGATATATTGAGAATATGGAGCTCAAATTCAGATGAAAAAAGCATAAGTTTTATTCAGAGGCCCAAACTGAGCAAAAATTCGCAATTTGGTACAGAAGTAAGATTAAATTCTGACTGCTTGTAATGTAAACTAATGAGATCTTTTGAACAGTATAAAACATACTTACATAAAAAGATATATCAGTCGTCACTCTATATCTTCTTTGTAAGATAAAATTTTAATGTTTAGCTTTATGATCAAATCATATAATGCAATGCAATACAATGATGATTGAGAGATGAACAAAAAATGCATTGCATTTGATTTTTCTAAGAAGTGATGTATGCATAATCAAGTAAACCTAAGTTGCTTCAGTCCAGTACATGTTCATCTTGAAATACTACTAACAATATAACATTTATTCTTACAATTGCTTCATAAAATTAGGTAAAGAGGAAAAGCAAAAGACACGTGAAACACGACCTGAAGGTGAACAATTTTACAATTATACTTAGAACCCTTGCTAAAAAGTATAAACCAAAATTGAGTTCGACGGGTTTTTCAGCAAAGTTTAGATCATGTTGATCATTTAGTGGCCTTAGAAATTTGCATATCAAATATGATACAGAAGGCTAAGAATATATTACATGACCTCAAAGCTAATACACGTGGACTGAAAGCTACAAAACACCAACTTTGATTTAATGTTGTCTAAGCAATTTACAAAATATTCATACAGCTTTCCATTATAATAGCCTGTGGACCGAGGTTGCCTTGGACAGACATTTCAGCTAAATGTCTATTTAATGGTGGTCTGTGCTCATCTCAATAAATCGCTGCTTAAAAGAGCCCTGTTGATGGCTATAAGTGAGGTAGAGGCTCCGGGCTTTATGGCAATGTTGTTATCAAAAGTGATTTAAGCTTTTCGCATTGACATCGAAGGCCATAAAATGCAAATAAATTGTTTTTAAATTATTTATGTAGCTCTTTTTAAAATAAAGAAATGATAAAAACATTATCTACTTAACTGACATATTAAAAATTAGTCAGAAATATATATTTTTAAAATCTTTTTTCATATTTAACCTTTTATTTAAATAATGAACCTTGAAAAAATATATATGAAATTTTTTTTTTAAATACTTCAGAATTTTATGACTCATATAGTATGATATATTGAGAATATGGAGCTCAAATTCAGATGAAAAAAGCATAAGTTTTATTCAGAGGCCCAAACTGAGCAAAAATTCGCAATTTGGTACAGAAGTAAGATTAAATTCTGACTGCTTGTAATGTAAACTAATGAGATCTTTTGAACAGTATAAAACATACTTACATAAAAAGATATATCAGTCGTCACTCTATATCTTCTTTGTAAGATAAAATTTTAATGTTTAGCTTTATGATCAAATCATATAATGCAATGCAATACAATGATGATTGAGAGATGAACAAATAAACGTTCCTCAAAAGCCTGATATTTGATACTCGTATCTAATTTTTCTAAAAAAAAATGATGCCTGGATAATCAAGGAAAGCTAAACTGCTTCAGTCCAGTAAGTGCTCATTTTGAAATATTACTAACAATATCAAAGCTATTCTTATATTTACTTTATAAACATCAGTAAAGATTTCACGGCAAAAAGACACATGAAGCACGAGCTGAAGATGGATATTTGTACATTTACACTAAAAGGCCTTTTGCTTGCTAAAAGTGCATAAAAGATCAATCAGACGACAGAAGGCATGTAGTAGATTGTGGGCAACAGGGTTTTTCAGTTTTGATAATGCTGATCATTTAGGCTGTAGAAATTAAGGTTAGGCAATAAAGTATAAGAGGATATTTTGTGAATAGTTACAGCTAGTTTGCTGTGCAGGTACTTCCCGTTCGGCATCGTGTTTCTGGTAGCCGGTAAGATCCTGGAGATGAGCGACCCGTCCGCGATGGGGAAGAAGCTGGGCTTTTATGCCATCACTGTAGTGATGGGCCTCATTCTGCACGGCCTCTTCATCCTGCCCAGCATGTACTTCTTCATCACCAAGAAGAGCCCGATCGTCTACATCCGAGGAATCCTGCAGGCCCTGCTCATCTCACTGGCCACGTCCTCCAGGTACAACACACACAAACACCAGCTGAAACACACAAAGCAATCCTAATCATCCTGTTAGTCTGTTGCAAAATCCCTTTAACTAACAAACGACAGTTCATTAACAATGACATCCTCCAAAATGTCTCCAAACCATTTCTGGGGGTAAAAGACCAGAAATGTTAGTGTTAACCAGAAATTTGATGAATTCCTCTGGTGTTTTATTTCCTGGTTTGATTAATGATATCAAATTAGATATAATATATAAATATATATACACACACACTACCATTTAAAAGTTAAAGATTTTATAATGCTTTTGAAGTAAGTCTCAGCAAGGCTGCATTTCTTTGATCAAAAATACAGTAAAAACAGAAAAATTGTGAAATATTATTATCATTTAAAATAACTGTTTTCTATGTGAATTTATTGTCAAATTAAATTTATTCCTGTGATGTAAAGCTGAATTTTCAGCATCATTACTCCAGTCTTCAGTGTCACATGATCACGTCAGAAATCATTCAAGTTCAAGGTCAAGGTCATTCTAATATGGTGATTTGCTGCTCAAGAAACATTTATGATTATTATTATCAGTGTTGAAAACAGTTGTCGTCTGAGACATTGTAGTCTAGCAGGAGTTTTAACATTAGATCCTTCTTCATTTGCAGTTCTGCCACTCTGCCTACCACCTTCAAGTGCCTGCTGGAGAACAATCACATAGCCCGGCGGATCATCCGCTTCGTGCTGCCCGTCGGAGCCACTATCAACATGGACGGCACTGCGCTGTATGAGGCTGTGGCAGCCATTTTTATCGCACAGGTCAACAACTACGAGCTTGACTTCGGCCAAATCATCACTATCAGGTAGAAAAACTGTCAAATGATTAAGTATAAAAATGTAAGTAATTTGAGTTGTTAAAACCATTTTTTTTTTCTTTTTTTATTAAAAATATTTCATTATTAAGTAAAATAACACTGGTATGAGAAATTTACCTCTGTCAATCAGTTCCAGCTAACTAGCAAGCTCTGGATTTACAGTGTTCTGCACATGCAGATCTTCATGATCCAGAGACTGAACGAGGCCCGAAAGACGCTTTAATCCAGCTGTGTGTGATGCACAAAAGAGCATTACAATATAGTAGCAATCCATCATTTATGCAATTAGAAAATGTATGAGGAAGTAACAAATCTCAAAAGTTTTTACCAATTCAAAGCTTTTTCTACGTTGAAGTGACCCTGTTATGCTCAAGAAACATTTATGATTATTATTATCAGTGTTGAAAACAGTTGTGCTGCTTCATATTTTTGTGACCATATTTTTTAGGATTCTTTAATGAATAGAAAGTTCAAAAAACTGCGTTTGTTCGAAATCAAAATTAAAAATTCAATTTAGAATTTGGTAGTTACTGTTACTTTTGAATGATTGTGTAAATATTAAGAGCTTCAGCTCGTTATTTCCATCCTGTTCATTTTCTTGCCTTTGTGCAAATAATCAAGCTAGATTTTATAGAAATAGATCTTTAAATTACAACACAACATTTATTTTACTCAATAAACAACATGTTTCTCCCATCCCTTGGTTCCTGTCCCAGGAAAATACATCACTGTATAGAGAGAGAAAAGGAAAACAGCATAAATATTGCACAACATGAGGAATTAAATCAGTACTTTTACCCTTTTGTCAAAGTCACTCTGCCAGTTGCTATAGTCATGCTGCATCCACTAAAAAGAAAAGTGCCAACACACACACACAATGCATAATGGTGGATATTTTCTCAGTACAAACAGACTTTGTTGTTATATTAAGAGAAGCTGTTTCAACAGGTGGAGAAATATCTTGGGTCACGCAGAATTTGCACACCATCTTTATCAGCATTTTCTACACTGATTATGGCAATAAATATGTGGATTTAAATATGATAAAATATGTTACAGATATAACTATCGAATAAACAAACAAGCAAGTGGTAGAAGAAATGTTAAAGTGTTAAGAAATCAAACACGATAAGAAATGTTTGAGTTCCTTCATTCATGATTGCAGACTTTGGTATTTGGGTAAAACTGAGACCGTCTGAGACATTGTAGTCTAGCAGGAGTTTTAACATTAGATCCTTCTTCATTTGCAGTTCTGCCACTCTGCCTATCACCTTCAAGTGCCTGCTGGAGAACAATCACATAGACCAGCGGATCATCCGCTTCGTGCTGCCCGTCGGAGCCACTATCAACATGGACGGCACTGCGCTGTATGAGGCTGTGGCAGCCATTTTTATCGCACAGGTCAACAACTACGAGCTTGACTTCGGCCAAATCATCACTATCAGGTAGAAAAACTGTCAAATGATTAAGTATAAAAATGTAAGTAATTTGAGTTGTTAAAACCATTTTTTTTTTCTTTTTTTATTAAAAATATTTCATTATTAAGTAAAATAACACTGGTATGAGAAATTTACCTCTGTCAATCAGTTCCAGCTAACTAGCAAGCTCTGGATTTACAGTGTTCTGCACATGCAGATCTTCATGATCCAGAGACTGAACGAGGCCCGAAAGACGCTTTAATCCAGCTGTGTGTGATGCACAAAAGAGCATTACGTAATAGCAATCCATCATTTATGCAATTAGAATAAGTAAGAGGAAGTAACAAATCTCAAAAGTTTTTACCAATTCAAAGCTTTTTCTACGTTGAAGTGATCCTGTTAAAGAAGGAAATAAATTAAATTGCTTTATTTAATAGATATTTATATATTTTACTTTATATTTTTTTTTAATTTATCAATTTAATTTATAGGCGATTTATTACTGTCTCGATAATGCCTAATGAAATTTATGTCCTCATTTGTCACAAAAACGCGCACACACACACACACACAGTAAACATGTAGACATAGATTTAAGGGCATCCCATAGACTTCCATTGCTCTAAACGAAGTAAACTCTCCGTTTAACAGACCCCTGTTGGTTTTTTTATATTTTATTTAAGTGTCATTTTGTGCGCTTTTGCAACATTTTATTTATTTAAGTCATACCTGAAAATAAGTCAAAAATTGCATTGTTGAGAGAAAAAAAACACAGATAATGGGTTCGATTCCCTGGGAACACACATACTGGTAAAAAAAATGTATAGCCTGAATGCACTGTAAGTCACTTTGGATAAAAGCGTCTGCTAAATGCATAAATTATTATTATTATTAATTATTATTATTATTATTATTACCTATACCTACAACATATAAATATTCTCCTATGTATATCACCAATCCACAATTTCATGTTGTGCTCATTCTGAGCTACAAAGAGATGCTGTTGATATTCACATGAAAAGAGCTCAAAACCACTTAAGATCCATCTTTGCATTGATGGATCTGAAAGGATGCGCTACAGAAGCATCTCACGCCCTTAATGGAAACATTGTCATTGAAAACAAAAGGAAAATGTTTCTGCCATGCCTCAGCTCTGTGTTACTGTTTCCGTTGCATGTGTGAATCAGACGCATATTGACATCTTTATAAAATCAGTGAAAAAACATAACTGGTAGTCTATGCATATTCATATTCATAAATCATATTGCCTTGTTTGATCTTGCTTTATTTCACACTTGCATGCGGGGTGTATTTATTTTGGCACCTATATTAAATGTTAAAGTATCCACACTGCTTGTTTAAGCAGAATGCTAATGCATAACAGAGTTTCTGTGACTATTTTTGCTGAAATCAGCAGAGAACATGTTGAAAGTGCATTACAAAACAGAAACACATCATGAAGCAATATGTATTTTTGAAGTGAACTACTCACCCATTGTTTGAAGACATTTGTCAAGCTTGATGCACGTTCCCAGCAAAAGTGCTGACTGTGACATGCTCACAATATGCATTTACTGGACCTGCTCAAAAAATGTAATACAAAAGGTGATAGTGTAATGTAATAATACAAATGTTTTTCAAATCATTCACTGTACATATCCTCCATCCATGTGAGTGCGTGCACATGCTCATGTGGGGTGTATTTATGCATGCACAAGACATCCGCCGCTGCACAGATGTGGTGATGCGTGCCTGACAGAACCATCATTCACTAGATTATTTGGTATGCAGCGTTATCTCAGAGCTTTGGTGCCCTCAGGTCTTGAACGCCATAAATGTTCCCGTCGTCCCATCTGGACTAAAAGGAACACCAACACCAAGCACATAAATCGAAGTGCATACTTCAGAGTTCACTATGTGATTGTGCACTACACCATAGAGTGCTGCGATGACCTCACAATTTTGTGAATGGAAGGTCAGATAAAGAAATATAGAGATATATACAGGGATAGAGAGCCGGAGAGCATTTGGGTAGCGCTGTTACAGGGATAAACGCCGCTGTCACATGGCTGTCTTACCACAGGATTATTTTGCAGTTTTCCCAGTCTTCCCAAAATCCATCAGCCATCTCTCTCACTCATCTCTAGATTTCATATGCTGTGCTGCCAGTGTTGGGGGTTGAACGAGTCTGTTTCATACCACATTGTTGCAATGCCTATATTAACAGATTAAAGAATTCACTCAGCACACGTAAGCACAGAATACATTTATTTCAACACCTATTAACAGGTTACAAAATTGAGTCACATATACAGTGAAATAGCGGCATGCATTTATTGCGACTCTAATATTCATATTGTAATTAATGCAATGTCAGCATATACTTATGGTGGCACAAAAGTGTCAGCACTCATTCTACACAAGTAACCAACACAACAGGAGCACACATTATTGCAGTGCCTGTAATAACAGGTTACTGCACTCACGTTGCATGTGTAAGCAGCGCAACAGTAGCACATATGTATCAAAATGCCCATTTTAACAGGTCACAACATTTAATCTTTACATAAGTAGCACAATAGTGACACACATTCACTGCCATTTATCGTGGTGCTTATATGAACAGGTTACACCATTCACACTGTAATCAAAGCAATAGCAGCATATACTTACTGCAGCACACATACAGCATTAACAAGTAACAGAATTCATTCTACACATGTATGCAATGCAATATCAGTGCACAATATTGCAATGTTTAATCGCCTACTGCATTGATTTTGCACGTGCAAGCGGTGCAATAGTGGCACATATTTATTGCAATGTCCATATTAACAGATCATAACATTTACTTTTTACATATAAGCAGTGCAATAGCGATGCACATTTATTGTGCTACTCTTATTAACAGGTTACTGCATTCGCTCAGTACACGTAAGAAATTCTTATTTATTACGGTGCCCAAGCAACAGGTCACAGCTTTTACACGTGCATGCAAAGCAGTGCAATGGAGATGTCTATTTATTGCACTGCTCATGCTCAATTAACAGGTAAGAAATTCTTATTTATTACGGTGCCCAAGCAACAGGTCACAGCTTTTACACGTGCATGCAAAGCAGTGCAATGGAGATTGCAATGCTCAATTAACAGGTCACAACAGGCCTAACGCAACTATAACTTAGCATGTCAGTTTCCGTAATTAGTTATCTTTTGTAATGAGCAAGGAAATTATTGTAAAAAGTTGTATTTAAAAGTAACGTTCCCCAAAACTGTCAATCGCTGATGTTATTATATTTAAACTTCATAGTCAATCTAAAAAACCAAACAGTGTTCCTCATTAGAGACTCATTACGTCACTAGAGAAGGTCAGAGCATCTTTTATTCTTCCCGTTGAGTGTGGATCGAAGCGTGACATGGATAGATGTTATTCCTCAGTGAAGCAGCGTGCATTAAAACTCCTGTTAAACCTTGAGCGGGTGACACACGAGCTGACTGATGTTCTTCTATGCCTGCGAGTGTGCATGAGTTGCGTATGCATGCAAGCAGGCATGCAAGAGCTTGTTTTTATTCAGTTGCTCATTCTGTGTTTGATTTTGTGTGTTTATATTGTTTGCATGAAGGCTGGTTATCTGTCATTCATAAAATGCATGCAATTTGTGCAAATATATCCGGCCTATGATTAGCTTTATAAAGAAATAGTGTTTCCCAAAATATAAAGTACACCATGTATTTACTCTAAATGGTCTTTAGATGCTACAGAGGTTGTTTGTCCTTCATAACATTTTGTTTGCTGTGTAACGATTTGTTTACCATGTTCTCCAGTATTACAGCAACAGCAGCGAGCATCGGTGCAGCCGGGATCCCACAGGCCGGCCTAGTCACCATGGTAATAGTGTTGACATCCGTCGGACTGCCCACTGATGACATCACTCTCATCATCGCTGTTGATTGGGCCCTGTAAGTATTGGCATGTGCTGGATATTTTTGGACATTTAGGTGCAAATTTTTGTCAGTTTCCATTAGGGGCTGTTCACACAGAATGCATTTTTACAGTCTACTGCTGCTTTTCCATTGTTTTTTCTTTTTCTACTTAAACATGCACTAGGTGGACGTATTTGAGCATTGCACTCTTTTGCAGCATGAATGCTTCATATTTAAAATGCTGTGTCGAGTTAAAAGCAGTTCAACTTTTCTTGAGACCTTGCACTTTTTCATTACACTGCCGTGTATGTTGCGCACAGGAAATTATCTCACAAAAATGCATTTCACTCTTTAATGGTCACTATTATCATAAAAATGTATTTACTGTTGTCACATGAATCAGAGTTTTCAAAAATTAGAGTTTGGCACAGGTTGAAAGACAAATAATCAGTCACTCTTGGACTTGATTGTAAATTTCCCATCATGCTCTATTTTTATCCATCATCTGTATCTATCCTGACTATGTTTTATCCACCTGTGTCTTTAAAATGCATTAAGTTAATTTTAGCATGTCTGTCTGTCCTCACCTCTTCAGAGACCGATTCCGCACCATGGTCAATGTGATGGGAGATGCTCTGGCCACAGGAATCATGGCCCATATCTGCAGAAAGGACTTCATTAAAGAGGGAGATGGGGTGAGTTACCTGAAGAAAAAAAAAGTTGACAAATAATCTTTTTTTTTTTTTTTTTAAATTAAGATAAATTGTATATATATAGTAGTGTCCAAAAATCTAATATCTTTATTTCATTATTATTGTTTAAAATATTAAATAAATAATTTAATATCTGCGCTATTTCTAAGTCACTACTTCACTGTAAATCAGGGCTCGAAAATGAGGACTGCCTGAGGCCAGCGTGAAAGACGCTCGGGACAGTTGACGAATTTGTCACTGGCCTGATCGGGCCACTGCTGCATTGTCATGAAAGTTTATCATTTGCACGTGTTTTTAAGCCTTGCTAATTAAAAAATTCAAGTGATTTTAAAGCATTCAAGCAAGACGCAAAAGCAGAGGTGGACTTACCCATTTGCAAAGGTAGGTGACCGCATTGGGCCCCCAAAAGCCAAGGGCCCCCTAAAATGCTTTTCATATACAAGATGCGCATTAAGCACAGACACGCGAACGGTTGCTGTTTACAGTGTTTATTACCACAACAACCATCTGCGTGTATACTTTGAATGTGTTTCTTGTGTATCCTGCTTTTAGCAAATGAAAATATCATGCACCTGAAGCTGTAAGTATATATTGAGAAGCAGTGTGTATTATATGTTTATTTTTTTAAATGCAACTTACTCATTCATGAGAAGAACCCAAGTAGAGGACACATACACAGTTACTTTTTTGGATTATATAATCCTTAGGTGTGTAAATGTATAATTCGTTTTCATGATTTTTTCAGTTTGATTTAAATTTGTAGTTTAAATAACTAAAAATAAATGTATTTTAAAATTTAGAATTAGACAGCCTTTAGAGAGTGTAGGCAGTTGGGCTGAGCCCAGGCACACAGGCTTATGCTGGTAACTCATCAGTGGACTTTCCTCGTCAATATAGGCTATATTTTAACACACATTTCTCATTCTCACTAATTCAAGGTTTTATATGAATGAATCTCTGAGGGGAACCGACTGCTTTCAGAAAAGTTTCCTACTGGCAGAAAATTAATGTGCATTTTCAATAATCCAGTCTACAGTTTTTGTTCAGACCAATGTGAAAATCCACCCATATAACCCCCTTTTAAATTAATATAATAATTTATACTTCTGATTTATAGGTGATCTCCTGTATTAGAAAAAATACAGGAGATCACCTATTCCCTATATGTGTAGACTTTTAAATAACTATGATTTTTAATCAAATTCTTTGTGCATAGTTAAGATGTATTTTATTCATTTGTCTTTTTTATTTTTGTATTTTAATATGGAGTAAATTGGTTTTGACATTTTATTTTAACAGCATAATTCAAATTCAGTGTTCCTTAATGACAAACGGCATTAGGTACCTGTAATGATGCTGAAAAAGGCAATAAATAAATAAATAAATACATTTTCTTAAAAAATGGTTTAAAGGCACAGTTGTGAGGTTTATAATTTTATAATTCATTTTGTTTTTGTGAAAACCTGTATCTCAACTGTAAATCAATTGCTATTTTGTGGTGTACAACGTGAAAGCAAGCCATTATAACATGTACATGAAAAATGTCATTTGAACACAACGATGGGGCTCCATTCTGTAGCAGCAAGCATCGCAACAAAAAAGGAACCTCAAGGTTGAGGTAAATGTGTGCAGATAGGGCCCCATTCCTATATTTTGCCTGTGGCCCCCAATTCACTAAATCCGCCCCTGTGCGAAAGAAAACTACATTCAGTACTCATGCGCTGAGTTCTGTGTGTTCAGTGCACATTGAAAGGACAAATACACACAAAAGTATGTCAAAATACCCATCTTGGCAAGTACTGTAACTTTGTAGCTTTAACAGTGATTCATCTATATTTAACTTATACAGTGGAGTACAGATGCACCAGTCATTTTTTTTGTTTTATTTCAGCCAATCTCTGTTCCAGATTTGCACACAAACTGCATGCAATCATTTTCCAAAATGTCATTTGTGTGGAAATATTACAAAGTGTGTAAATGGCCGTTAAGAGAGGCCAGAGACGCTGAGAAAATACTGTAGCAGGCAGAGCAAGTTCACTGGTCACGATGCATAAAATATTTTAAGAAAATCCTAAATACTGAATTTGGGGTAGGGGTTTATATGAATGTATCTCTGGGGGGAACTGGCTGTTTTCAGAAAAGTTTACATTGCTTTTCATTTTGCCTATGTATAATGCATTTAATAAGTGTCAATAAGCACAAGGCTGCTTTGTTTACAGCGGTAACCAAGGAAACGCTGTATCTCTGCTGTTCCATAAGCGCCACCTGCTGTCAGAGAGTGAATCTGCATCTCATTCAGTCTGTCTGCCGTTTCAGCATCATTTCATTTGTATCTTTGTTCCATTCAGTTGTGCTATTGCTGTAATTTGTTCATTTGTTCTTATTTACTGACAGTTCACTTGTCTTTAATAATGTTTGAACTTGATATTTGTTAGGCTTATTTATTAGAATAAAAGATAACATGAGTCAAAAACAATGATAATAGCAACTATTTTATTTATTTATTTATTTTGGCAGGGCCAGTGAAACTATTGGCAGGGCAAGTAAAATTTAAATAGAACAAATCCTTAGAGTTGAGCCCTGTAAATTGTAAGATTTGCTGATGTCAGCTTCAAGTGCTTAAACCAAAAAGTTTAATTTCTCAATTTGAAATTATTGCTGAAAATGTTGTGCTCATAATATAATAATTATGCAAAATGACTAATGATAATGAATGAATAATGACGAATGCAAAACTTTTCAGACTTTTGGACTGTGATATTTTTTTTTAAGTACAATATATACCAGGGATTCCCAAATGCTTTTGTCAGCTGAACCCCTTGACTTAAAATTTCTAGGGGTACTTCAAGTAAATTAATGTTAATAGTTCAATAATTTAACAACACATTCACATTCACAGTTGTCTTACATGACATGCACGTAAACAAAACATTTAATCATTTTTAAGTGTTTTATTTAGATTTTTAAAATAGTTTATTTTAATTAACATTTTTATGATTTAATTATTAGCTTTTTATCAACTTCACAATCCACAGTTTGGGAAATCCTGATATATACACAATACAGTACGGCATGTCACACTGCTTGAAATTTTATGTAACCAGCCCAAACACTTCTGGAAATGTAATGCAATGATAATTGAATAGAATAAAACACACACTAACACCTGCATATATTCACACAATCACAACTACACACACAAACACAAAGACTGAGTTCAATCCTCCCAAGGTTATTTTTTAAACATCTTAAAGATTTCTTTCCTCCCGTTGTGTCCTCGCTGTGGGGGTTTGAAAAGCTGCTTTGGAAATAATACGAATTGTGAAATGCACTACACACACAAAAAATTCACAGAACTCATTTGAACCAGTTTCTCAAAATTACAAGTTGCATGGCCACAGTCCTCACTGAATGATATTTCATGTCTTAATTTCCGCCACTTTTTACACAGATGAATAAAAGGAGATGTACATGTGAATGGAAAACAAGCATGTTGAGTAACCGATGAACACGATTCTCCAAAAAAACTAAAATGGATTTCAGTGATTTTTCCTTGACCAATAGGACAGGTCACTTGATTCGTACCTTTCGTACTCACAAAGACATCTCAAGGATTCTGAGGTTTTGTAAATCAGAACAAACTTAGTGACGAGAGGAGGGTTCGTGACTATTGAATGCAGATTTCGACAAACAGAAAGACAGGATAGTCACGACGAGGTGGAAAAACATGGTTTCGTGGAAAAAAGTATGTACATGTGTTACAAATGGGACCAAAATAGACACATAGGCCTCCAATTTATGGAGAATGGCTTGGAAAACATTTGTCTTGAAGGCATATGTACAGTACATCATATGCTGATGGCTGTTTCTAATCATTCTTCAGAAATGTGAATGTTTCTTAGACAATCTTATTCTTCCACTCTTAGTAATTAAGTAGTCATTTAGCAGACAGTTTTATCCAAGAGCAACTTGAGGTGCACTTACTTTATGGACACCTTGACTAGACAAATTAGCTCAAGAGCAAAATAATGATAGCTTATGGCTTTCTCTCGGTTCTCTTGAGTCTTTCTGAGATTTAACCCCTACTCCACACCACCGAAAGATGTTCAAATGCCCTCACTACTGTACATGATATTCGCAACAGAAAACCCATCTGTAGCCAAATTCCCGCTTGCATCTATCACTGATGTGAACCACACAGCCAAATCAAAGCCATACTGATATTCAGCAAACAGCACGTTTGTACATAAAATATTGCTTAAATAATGGTGTAATTAAGCATTCATTTTGAGAATGTAATATATCTTCATAATGCACATGAAGCAAAAATGTAGCTGAAAATTTCCCCTTCATAAAAAGATAATTTGGGGCACTGATTTGAATGAGCAGCTGCTCATTTTTGCCAAACCCTTTGAACAATTCCCTGTCTCTCACGTGCATGTACTGTAAGTGACCTTGTGCTTTAGCTGTTAGGACAAAAAAACATGACAGAAAACAAAAAGACTGTAATATGAGCAGTGCTGCGATCCTGGTACAGTATTGTTTTAGCATCATTTATCTACTTCTGTATGTTTATTCACATTTAGCGTAATTTTTTACATTTTTTTTTTATTTACAACTTTGAAAAAAAAAACATTTTATTGTGTAGTTTTACTGTTTTAAAAATATTTATAAATAGTTTTATCATTTTTATTTCAGTTTGAGTTTTTTTCAGTATTAGTTTTATTTTAGTTAGTAATTTTAATACTTCAACTTAAATTTTAAATCTTACATTATCAGTTCAGCTAGTTTTAGTTTTGATTATTTAATATTTATATTTTATTTTATTTCAGATATCTCAATGAACAATAATGTTCTTAAATAGGTTTAGTTAATGATAACAACACTGTTTTGTAGTCTGACAGTCGTGTAGCAAGACATTGGTTCCTTCATCAACAATTAAAAAAATAAACAGATGTCAGCTCAAGTGCTGCTGTCATTAAACCAAAAGGAAGGTTTAATTTTTCAATCTGAAATTGTTGCGCAAGATGTTATGCTCATAATAATTCAAATGATGATGAATTCAAAATAGGAGCATTTTCAATTAAGCTCATTTCAGTTACTCGTTTAGTTAAAGCTTTTCAGCTACTATTTCTATTTTATTTTAGCTTTATTTCAATGAACAAAAATGTTCTTTAATAGTTTTAATTAACAATAACAACACTGTTCTGATAGTCGGACAGTCAAAATCTCTCCAAAAGAGATACAGTCCATAAGAAGAAATATTGAATTGGCATTTCCCTGTTTCTCCATAGGTCCCTCTCATCTGCGAAACAAAGCCCATGACTAACCAGGGTTTGCCGAACTGTCAGCAGAACAACGGTAGTTTCCAGCCTCCACCACCAGGGGGCAAACCTGAGCACATTTCTCCAGACGTGGCCCGTCTCATGCAGCTGGAAGAAGGGGTCCGTCCGCCGCCTCCCAATCGGAAAATGCCACCCATACCTCCGCGGCACCTGAAACACAGAGACAAGGACCATTGTGCCATCGACATGAACGGTCTGGAGACTAACGTATAGCGTCCATCGAAATCGCAGATTGAGATCGATCGAACAAAACGAATCCACTTACATGGGAACGGATGACGGGACGTGTATTATTTCCTTTCCGTTTTTCTCTGACAGGCGACACATGGTCTGACCCTGCACATATGGGCCACTGCCCCAGTAATGCCACTGTTGGCAGCACATCCCGGTTGACCCATTCAGTGCGTTAGATAATGCCGGGATGGGATGAGAAACCAGGTCAGGGTCCACAACACCAAGCCAGCCTGTTTCTATGGGTCATAGCGCGATGCATTCAAGGCCTTGAGAGCAAAATTTTTCCTGTAGCGTAATGCAAGACTGTCAAAAAGCATGAGTGTAAATACAACATAGCTATGTACTCTAATGTGTTTTTTATTTCTCAAGTTTATATATAATTTTATATTTTCTGTCTTGTCTTTTTAAGCAGGCCGTGTAAAAATATTGTAAAGCTCGCAGGTGTGTGTGAAGATCAGTGTTGACTGTGATATTGAATATTTTATGTTATTGGATATTCTCCTCTTCCCGTTCAGCGAGGCCCGTTCTCATGCCACATCTGTAAATCAAATGTTCAGCAAATTATTGCTATGACTATATTGAAAAGCACTGAGTAAACCACTCAAGGTAAGAGTTGCTAGCCTGGGAAACTAAATAAAGGGCGATCCCAGTCATATATGGACTGTGAAACTAGTTTATTCAAAACTAAATTTGAGTATGTAATGTGTCATGCACATTTTGGAAAGTGTGCTAAATTAGGCCAAAAACATACTTTACATACGAAAACACAGCGAATGCTACGCTAACTCGTCAGAAACATAATATCCTGTTGAAGTGCTCTCTTCCACCCTCAATACCATGTGCCACAGCAAAAATGGCTGCCCAATGCTTCGGGTGTGTGTTTGTTCTCTACTCCCTGCTGTGTGTGTGCACTTGGATGGGACAAATTCCGAGTATGGGCTGGGAAACTAAATAAAGGGCGATCCCAGTCATATATGGACTGTGAAACTAGTTTATTCAAAACTAAATTTGAGTATGTAATGTGTCATGCACATTTTGGAAAGTGTGCTAAATTAGGCCAAAAACATACTTTACGCAAGTACGAAAACACAGTGAATGCTATGCTAACTCATCAGAAACATAATATCCTGTTGAAGTGCTCTCTTCCACCCTCAATACCATGTGCTGCAGCAAAAATGGCTGCACTTGGATTGGACGAATTCCGAGTATGGGAGACCATACTTGGCCACACGTCACATTCACTTTTACTTATTACCAAGTAGCACCAGTGCACAGAGTTCTGGCATGAAACTCTAGATGGCGCAGTCCGATAGGTCTAACTCAGTCTGACCTAATGACATCATTATCACATGGCACAGCTGATTGGTTCTCTCCAGAGTCTAGACCATGAAAATACTGAAGAAAATACATTTAAAATTACGTTTGTTGAGTTCATTAGGTGCATAAGCACAATGTTGTTAATGATAAAGCAAGAGAGTAAAAAAAAATATATTATGCTGCATTCAAGTTCCTACAAAAAAAAAAGGAAATGCATTTTTAATTTGTTCACCAAAATCCAATATTTACTGGCATTTTGCTGGTTAGTGAGTGTTGTTTTTGGACCCTGGGTATGATGCATTAAAGCACATCTGTGAAACAATAAATATCCCCACTTCCTCAGATTATATCTGTACAGTATGTAGATAATTAATGATAGAATTCATGGGCCAATATTTTGTTAATACTGTGGAAAATAATGCATCAATAAAGCATTTTATACACACTCATTTGTTAGTTTGTGATGAATTGGGCAATAATGCAGGGGACTCCAAATGTTTCTTTCCTTTCAAATAATTTGTCCTAGTTTAATAAACATCACTAATAAATGTGTGGTAATACCCAAACCTTATTTACACGATATGAGTTAGCAGCAGTATTTGCACAATTAGCACTGGGGATTTGAACAAACCACTAACCTCAAGCAAGTGCATAATGACAAAAACAAGAACCATATCTCAAATCTGTGACCTGTTAAAGGAAAAACAGCAGGGCTGCTATGCTAAATACAAACATATAATTATGCACAGTTGGGATTGCAAAATAAATATAAAGGGAGGATTAAAAAAAAAAAACGACTTACCTTTTATTGATGGTGTCAAAGGTTTTGTCCAAACAAGCACGACATCTTGACAAGTATTTACCTGTCACTTGCGAAATTAGATGCTAATGTGTATGACATGCCCTTATCCTCAAAAAACACACGAGTAAAAAAAATATGATAATATATAATAAAGAAAAGACTAAATTAAATAAATGATAATTTGCATTTAATTATTAGCTGTGAGGACGTACAGTAAAACAATAATTGATTTTAAATTCAGAAACCAATAATAAACCAATGAAAACATTCTTGCCGATCAACGCTAAAAGGTTTCTCATTTGTTTTTAATGCATATTAATGTGGTTTCTCTCAGCTGTTATTTCTTAAGTGATTTCATTACAATTACGACTGCAAAATGTATGCTGTTGAAGAGAAAGACATAATATATTTGCTTGTGTTCATCTGCTTCTCCCATTTGCTCTTTTTACATTGAGTATCACTCTATAAGTGAAAGTGAAATGTGGCCAAGTATGGTGACCCATACTAGGAATTAGTGCTCTGCATTTATCCCATCCAAAGTGCACACACACAGCAGTGAACACACACACCGTGAACACACACCCGGAGCAGTGGGCAGCCATTTTTTGCTGCGGCGCCCGGGGAGCAGTTGGGGGTTCAGTGCCTTGCTCAAGGGCACCTCAGTCGTGGTACAGTCGTGGTACAATCCCTGACGGTACGAGACTCGAACCCGCAACCTTTGGGTTGCAAGTCCGACTCTCTAACCATTAGGCCACGACTTCCCCGCAATAAGACTATACAATCAGATACAACAATCATTTCTCAAGTATCTATTACAATATATACTGATAAATTTAACATTCACTTCTATGCCGGCAAATCTATGCCAAAAAGAACCGAGTGCACCAGTTATGTTTACGCGCACAGTAAACTGCTTCCATGAGAGGATAACAGATCCACACGCGAGGAAACGGGAGCCTGCCAGCATCACATCACCTGTGCGCGCAATACAAGCCCTCGCGAGCGAGGATATGTGTCATCGCACGCGTGTGATCATCCCCCTCATTCTCGCGCTCCGTATTTTTTCACCTGCTTGCTTTTGCTCGCTCGAACACTTTTATTTTTGGCAGTCGTGGGGAGGGACTAGCTGTTTTAATTGTAATTTCAAACGCCATTGGTTACTTCCCCTTTTCCGGAAGTCAGCTGTGATTGGACGCCTGTGAAAAGTCAAGTCAAGTCAAGTCACCTTTATTTATATAGCGCTTTTAACAATACAGATTGTGTCAAAGCAACTGAACAGCATTAATTAGGAAAATAGTGTGTCAATAATGCAAAATGACAATAGTAAACACTAATTTTCCAGTTAAAGACAGTTAGGCGATCCATAATTAACATATGACCTGAGACATGGCTTTATCAATGGACCAGATGCATGTAAGTTGTCATTTATTTTTTTTATATATATAAATATAACATGGCTGTTTTAATAAATTAATTGCATGCTTTGTCAATAGAATAGATCTTTAGCAGAAAGTTTATTAACATAAATGATTCAGTTTACTAGTGATTGCAATGCAATCTTGTGGTGTTACGAAGATAAAACACCACATAAACCCTTTTTATAGATTGTAATGACAGGGTTCCACGGTTATTAGCATGGTAAATCTACCAAAATTGTTATATTTTAATTTTTTATACAACACAATGCTTTGGGTTATATTAACTTCGCAAAATACAAATAAAATAAAATAAAACTAATTGTCAACTTATTGCTATAACTCAAATTAACTGTAGTTCACCACTTTATTACCAATATATGCTTGTCCATTAAAATAATTGTAAGTGTACTTAATTGTAAATCCCAAATTGGTTTGCATTTTCTTTGTATTTTTGTAAACATACTTTTTTTGCTTATTTCAGTTAATGTCGTAAAACTAGCGAGTTAAGCCAGTAGTAGTGCCGACAGTGTGGTATTAACAAAGCTGAAGGCGCAAAAAGCGGAGGAACAGACAAACCGATTCAACTGAGTGAATAATTTACGCTGGAACCGCTCCGATTGATTCAAACTCAAACTCGATTCACTAGCAAAAACCAGATCAAAGGAGCCATTCATTTTCGAATTTCGACATGGTGTGTAATGATTTTAAAAAGCACGTAGTGATGGGTGAAACGGAGCTTTTCGAAACTCCGAATCAGTTCAATAATTGCGTCGCAAAATTATTCAATTTCGAAGTTCTCCAATCGGATAATTCAGATCGGAAGTTCAGAGCGGGTTCGTGAATCTTTTGATTCATATCGGAACTTCGGAGGGTTCTCGAATCATTTCGCGAACTGAAGGTTCCGTAATATGTGCTCCGAAGTCCAGATCTGAAATGATGGTTCGCGAGTCATTATTCAGATCGGGACTTCGGAGCGCATATTGCGAATCATTTGATTCGGATCGGGACTTCGGAGCGGGTTCGCAATTTTATTTATTTTTTTCTGATTTCTTTCTTTCTTTTTGTTAAACAGTACAAAACATCAAACCATTAATGCAGTACAGTTATACAAACAAAACAAAGAAAAAAGGAACAAAGAAAGTATACACAGATACAAATCAATTAACCATGGTTTTATTATGATAAAGGTGTAGTAACCATGTTTTTTTGGTGCATTGATTACCATTTTTATAACCACAGTTTTACTACAAATACCATGGTTAGACTATGGTTGGTGCAGACTATGTTTTAACTATAACCATGGTGTTTTTTTATTTTATTTTATTTATTTAATATA